GGAAGCCCGACAACGGCGAAAAAACTCAAGACCCGTTTCCCTCAGGACCCGTTTCCCCCCTGGCGAACGTCGAGTCCCAAGGTCTGGGCGTCACAACCTCTTCGCGCCAGGCATGTTCCCCTGGTTTCGGACCCCAAGTAAGACGAAACCAAGACGAGGATAAAACCAGGTACGGATAAATCGAGAACCTCTTAGATCTGGCAACTCTGGAGGATGCCTCGGGCGCCGCGGCCTCTTCAAAACGATCCCGAACACTCTGACAGCGTCACCGAACGCTCTGGAAGGGACCCAGACATGCGACGTCCTGATTTTTTCCATACGAGGTCCCTGGAAGTCCCGACCCTTTCTCTCAGACTGGTTTTTCATCCTGAGTCGTCTTTTTACGGTCCCGATGCCAAGCAAGGGCCCCCGAGGCCGAAGTTGGCCAAGAAACTCCCGTCCAACTTTTATTACGACGCGACCATATCTGGGGATACATCCTCGTCACAACCCCGTCCGTCACAACCTCTTCGCGCTGGGCAAGTTCGCCGGGCTTCGGGCCCCAGGGCACCACAGGTCGGTCCGGCTCGACGGGTGCCGCAGAGAAGATCGGGTCTGGGGTTTCGGTCGTGGCTTCTCGCGGTCGTGTAGGCGGAGGAGGAGGAGGAGGAGGAGGAGGAGGTGGAGTGCCCAAGATGCACAATATTTTTTTCGCAGCGTCGGATCTCGGGGGACTTCGAGGGGCGCTGCATTTTCGGGAGGCCGTCCTGGGGCTGCTCGCCCCCGCTGCTGGGCCGCTGTCGAGGGTTCTGGCCAAGAGAGGCGCCCAAGGACGAGACTCTGGGGGCCGATTGTTGTTGGACCCGTAGCCCAGGGCGTCGCGAAAAAGCACAGCGCTGCCGCCCGTCGCCTGGGCCTGATTAGCGGTCTGAGGCTATGTTGTCGCCATCGCCGCCCCGTCGCGGCTTAAACTGCACAGCGTAGATGGCGCCGCAGAGTTTGCACCACGGAGATTGCACCCCATAGATTGGACTGCAGAAATTGCACAAAATAGCTTGCACCACGTAGATTGCACAACACGGATTGCATCACGTAGGTTATCCGCTCTTAGATTCTACTCCCGCCGGGATTATCGGCTCACCTTTCCCGGGTCCAATTGACATACGATTCTGCCCCACCGTCCATCCGACAAAACGAATTCATACCATCCCAGCCGAGCCGTTATCGCCCCACCACGCACCATCCTCTGCAAAACATGCTATGCGCGAGCATTCGTGTTTCCAACAAAATCGTTTTCTAAAATCTGCTGCAAAAGAACTATAACAAATTGCGCGCGCCCGTCGTCGCGCGCGCGCGTGCCGAAATACTCTAGAAACTTTCGTCTTCGTAGACATTTCAAAAATGCGAGTGTTAGAAACATACCAAACACATGGTTTCGCAACACGAATTTTCAAACAACAAAAAACCTTGCGCGCGCGCTCTTGCTTGTCAATTTAACCCTTATTTTTTCAACATCCCCATCCAATGCTAACGCAAAGGTTTCGCAAGAACACATGACGAAACCGGTTGGAAACCGTTGCGCGCATGTTGTCGCGAGATCCGGCGCAAAGAATGTGACGAAGTGCGCGCGCGTCGTCGGGCGCGCATGCCGAAATCTGTCAAAAACCTCAGTTTTTTTGCACGGATGTCAAAACCGAGTGTCCAAAACAAACATGAAATCTCCCCCAAAGAGGTGCCCCTGCAATAACAGCTCGTTGCCAGTGGTCGGGGGCGTGCGATTGCGTGGCCTCGGTGCTTGAACATCGGGGTGTTCCCCCTGTTGTGGCTGCCTCCTAGCGTTGTGCAATTCGCTCTCGACCCGGCCTGCGCGAGCGCAGATGCGGCGCGTGCGCGCAGAACCCGCTGGCCTCAGGGCGTCGCCCCACTCTTGCGATCGAACTTGCCCGCGGTCGCTGCGACGCCCTTTCTTGGCCGCGCCGCCGGTTTGGAAACTGCTCCGCAGGGCGCTGGCGCACCTTCCACATCGGCTTCCTGCTGCCCCAGTGCTGCCGCTTCTCCGCTTCCAGGAACCCCGCCCTCCCCCCACCCGTCTGTTCTCGGCGGGGGGGTGCGGGGAGCTGCTCCTCGCCTGGACGGCCAAGCGCCCGCACATGTGCGACGGCCGAGCTCGATGGCGCAGCTGGACCAGGCGCATCGGCCCTCGAAGCTGGTCGTTGCCATCGGCATCACTGCCATGTCCCAAGAGCTTTTCACACTTTGTTCGCAGCAGCGGCGAGGATCCACACCGCGCTCGAAGGTAACCGAAGGACATTGCGACCTCTCTTTGGGCACGGCGGGCGAAAGACGAGGACGAGCGCGCGGAAAGGGGAGTGGAACAAGCTCGAAGCATGAAGCCAGCTTCTCGTTTTTGGCTCACCTGGCGCAGGAAGGTGACGGTCGAGCGACGGCGGGGCGCGCCGGGGCAACCGAAGGCAAAGCGGGGCCGAGGAGGAGCCGCACTCAGGCCGCGGGAGTCGTCGTGCGCGTGCCGGGGAGCGAGCACTCGAAGTGCACGAGGCTTGCCGCACGCTGGCAACTCACTCGCTCTCCGCTCGCTCGTGGCGCGTCGCCCCTCGCCGTCGCTCGTCCCCGTCGCTCGCTGCTCACCGGCACTGGCCCCCGTCGTTCCCGCCCGGCTGGCTCGCGTCCTCGCCCCCTGGGCCCCGTCGCCTCCCTCCCGCCCTGGCCGCGTCCTCGCCCCCCCCCCCCCTCCCCTGAGGGGCAACGACAGGGGGGGACTGCCATATGGGGGCGGCACATCGACCTGGAATCGGCGATACATCGCCGACAGATCGGCACGTTCCTGCACGCCGATGGAATCGGCGGCGATCAGCCCCCGATGGCGAATCCGCACCTTCCTGCACGCTCCTGGGCGGGGTGTAGTTATCGGGTCCCATCGCCGATCAGTGGGCGATTGGGGGTCGATACATTCCCCCTATGCCTGCCCCCCCTATCGTTGCCCCTGCCTCCCCCGCCCCGCCACATCTCGTCTTGTGCTGGCCGGTAAACCAAAACAGGAAGGAGTGTCGCTCAAGCGACAACTCTTTAACCAAGCGGGGACACTGCAGCATCCCATGCCGAAAACAAGGGTGCGCTCCAGCACTGCATTCATATCGAGCGCAAGCGTACCAGCAGCCTGCAGCGTGCGCATCAGCACTGCAGCCTTCCAGCAATTCGAGCAGAAAACAAGGGTGTGACGTTGCCGTGGCTGTCGTCGTCGCCGCCGCCGCCGCCGCAGTCGCCGAGGACGTTGCCCCAGCGGCCGGCGCCGTCGCCGAAGATGTCGCAGCATGGCCGTCGCCGTCGCCTCTCTCGCCGTCGCTGCTGTCGTCCTCGCTGGTGCTGTCGCCGTCGCCGCCGCCATTGCCGCCGTCGCCGTCGTCATCGTCGTCGTCGCTGATGTCGTCTTCGTCTTCGCCGGCGCCGTCGTCGTCGCCGACGTCACCGCCACCTTCGTTGTCACCGCTGGCGGTGTCGTAGTCGACGCCACCCTCGCTGTCACCGAGGCTAGGCCATAAGATGGCCTTCAAGATGGCCCCAACAAAACGGCCCCGCCCTCATCACCCTGCTCCTCGTGTCCCTTGTCGATCCGTCGTGCGCTGTTGTTACCCCACAGAGGTCCGCCCCCTGCCGTGGATCCCCATCGAAAAGGCAACGCGTGGGGCAGCAAGATCAACGGGAGAGTGGCTCGAGGTGAAGCAGACGGGCTTTGCTTGAATGGTTGGTATCCTGGCCTCAGCAAGCTGGGTCTCAGCAAACTGCGAGATCAAACCATAGACACAAAACTGGTAAGGCAATGCCTCGTAAGCGCGAACCCGTCCTTTCGAAACTGATGAACGAGTCCGAAACGGCACGCTGCATCATGCCATAAGAACCAGGCAAACGCCCGCCTGGCGCACTTCAGCGTATCGACCTAAACGCGTCCGTCCGCCGAGACTCGAAGACATCGTGAGAGCGTCCAAACCAAGCGGGTCAGACTCGAATTGAGAAAAATCCACACTGGGTTGACGTGGCTGGGGCAGAGGACGCCCTGCCCTGGATGCAGAAGCTTGAAATCTTGAATGAATGGTTAGGCGTTGCTTCATGGGAAGGCGGTACACGGAGGGGGTAGACACGTGCACCGTTCGTGCCCCTTTTGGACCCCAGGGGGCCCCTTGAGGGCCCCTAGCGCGCGCAATAGGTGGACCCCCCTACCCCCCCCTCCCATACGTGTCGCCTCCCGTTGCGCAACGCCCGAGATGAAACTGGGCGCAAGAACACAAGCATTGAACCACTCGCTCAAGCGAGAGCCGTATACGTAAATACGGAGCTCTGGCTTCAATCCATACAAGCATCGCTTGGGGTTGTTGCAGTTCCCTTCTGAGCGGTACCAAGCAATAATTGACGAATCGACAGAACATGTGTTTCTGTCGCGGCACCAGCGATCGCTCAGCGCGGCGAGGCCTAGGTCGGAGGCTCAGGCCGGAAACGCGTACGGGCACATGTAGAGTACCTCCGAGCCAGCATAATTTCACACTGATATCGCCATCGGGCAAAATGACTTCATTGTTTTCGCCTGAAGCGACCAACTCGGCGGATAATAGTCAGCGGAAACATCAAAACAGCTATGTATTATCATGAGCCCGGATATGCAGTTGTTTTCGTTGGAGCGTCAAAAGCAAAAGAACAACTGGAAAAGCCTTATTTAATATACAATGGCTCTCGACACGTTATTCAATCGATCGAGAAACAGCAATCCCCCAACTCGGCAAGCGAGGTTCTAAAAAGCTCTCCAGCATAGAAACCGATTTCCATGGAGTGACCGTATGCCCAGGGCATGTGTCCTGCAAGCGTTTCTGCATACCCATCGAAGCAACTTATACATTATCCGATGCTGTTCGGGCGCTTAGCAAATGGAATTCGCGATCTATGTTCGCGCCAACCCCTCCACAACGAGCTCGTAGGCAGACCCAAAAACATACGATCTATTTGACCGAACTATATTACAAATACCTAGCAGCGTGCTGCGATTGCAATCCGGGTTCAGTGAAACCCGCCGACGTGCCCTCAGGTACGAAGAGGCGTGGTGGAATGCCAAGTGCTGCCTGGTCAGTTTTCTGCAAGTGCTCTCATCGATTCACCCCCTCGTCCCCCCGCACATTGTTGCATGCATTCGACCCCCCCCCCCCCGCGGGTTTCTTGGCGCCCCAACGCGTCCTTGGGGCTCTCCAGAACTCACCGCTGCTTCCGCGACGGCCGAACAAGGCCACAAAGGCCGCCAACGCGGCCAAGCATTGCCACAAGAAGCACAGAAGTGCCCAACAGATCCCAAGAGGCCTCCAACAGGCCACGAGACACACCCAAAACGCTCTCCAGGAGGTCCTCGAGAATCTCGAGGACCTCCTGGAGAGCGTATCGGGCATCTCAGATGCCCAAAATATTGCTATCTCATATGCTATTCATAGTCTGGAGCTGTCTACGCTCTTCGTTTGAAGATCGGTCCAGTTGCAGTTTTGGAGGGCACAGAGGAGCCCACTGAGAGCCCAAAGAGGGCCCCTGCATGGCCCAAGACGGTCTCCAGCTGGCCCAGGAGGGTCTCCAGAGGGACCCAAGATGCCCTAAGAGGGTCCCGAGACGGCCCAAACAGTCCCCAAGTCACTAAGTCGGCCCCACGACAGCTCCAGACAGCTCAGAGGGCCCTATTACGACCCAGTAGTGCCCCAGGTTCGCCCAAGAGGGCCCCAAGACTGCTCAAGAGAAGACCTCAAGGGACCCCCGAGACTGCCCCACAGGAGTCCAAGACAGACCCGAGACTGCCAAAATAGGCCCAATGAGAGCTCCTCAAAAAGTGAAGACGAGAGGTGTCATACGTGACGGCCTTCTGGGCGGTGCTCGAAGGGTCCCCACACAGAGTGCTTCGCTGGCACGATGCGGATCTGCCGCAGGCGACTGGATAATCAGGACTGCGGGACGACAACAGAGAAACCTCAGTGTCGGATTCGATACTCTGGGGTGTCTGCGTGGCCCAAGATTCCACTCCCCCGCGAGAAATCTGACTTGCCCCGCTTCCCTTCTGGCATGATGATGCAATCGACGCCTCAAGATCTGATGGATCGCAATCGCGTTGCTGCTGCTCAACATGTTCCGCATATTCATCCGTGTGACCCAACTCTTGCCGAACCATACCAGCGCAGAGCTGCTGCATCCTGGAAAACTGCATGACGACGAACATCAGAACGAAGCAGCTCACGGTGAAAGCGGCAAGCTGAAGGAAGACCACAGCAGCGCCAGACCCCGCCCGCTCGGCCTGCACCTGCAGACTGTCGACCTCGTCGGGCCCCGAGGCCTTCGGCAGTACACCGCCCGAGCCGGTCCAGGACTGGAAGCTGACGCAAGAGGAGAGCACCGAGATGCCGCCGTCCACGCCGCGCATCGCCTCCCGGATCGCCTCGGTGAGCTCCTCGTGCGAGCCGAAGACCGCGCCTTGCCCCTCCGCCACGAAGGAGATGGCAAAGCTCGCGCCAACCTCCTCCGGGGCGGACCTTCGAGAAGCCAGAAGCGGCAATACCTCCCTCCCTCCCTCCCTCGTCCTCCCCCCTCGTCCTCTTCCTCCTCCTCGTCCTCCTCCTCGTCCTCCTCCTCGACCTCCTCCTCCTCTTCCTCCTCCGCCTCCAGCCGGCGCTGGACCCCCTGTCTGGCGCGCGGAGCGCGCCGGGGGTGGTGCCGAAGGCGCCGTCAGGGGGGGCCGCTGGCTGGTCCAAGAAAGCCACGCGGACCTCCGAAATTGCCTTCTTTGGATGCAGCTTTTCCCGTTCCTGCGAGGCCTGGCGCAGATGGGCGTGGTCGTCGGCGAGATGCCAGTCGCACGGACCATGGAGTACCTCCGGGCGGCGAGCAGGGAAGGGGGCCAGAGTGTTGGGGCGCGCGGCCTTTTGAGAGGGCCAGGGGGGCGGCGTGCTGAAGACATGACAGGTTCTTGCGTTCGAGACACGAGGTTTGAGGTTTTCGGGCGTTCTCGTCGGCTCAAGGCGGCTCTCTAGCCTCGGGGTGTCTTCTGGCGGCATCGTCTCGCCGAGAGCGTTCGGGGTGGTGCCCGGATCGTCCTGAACGGCCGCCGGAGGCCCGAGTTATTACCCGAAAGGCCACTTGAACTTGTATAGCTATCGTGCTGCCAGAGAGAACGCTACATGAGGAACGAAGCCCCTCTCTGGCCCCAGAAGCGACCGAGTTCACGAGGAGCGCCTGAGGGGCTACCAACGGGAGGACCCAAGGAGCAGCAAGACACCCCTCCGAGCCCGAAGTGCTCCTCATTTCAGCGCGTTGGCTGTAAGAGGGGAGCGCTCTCAGAAGGCCGAGCCTCCGAGCCCCCCCCCACCCAGGGCCCCGTTGCGTGTGGCCGAGTGCCCGTAGGAAGATGCCAGCACCTCCTCGATGGTGTGGAGGTGGCTGCCAAACGAGTTGACCACCCTCGATTGACTCGTCGAGTCCAGGGCAAAGGCGGTGATGCCCAGCTCAGCCTGCAGCTGGAAATTGCTCGGGAGAGATGGGGCCGCTCCCATGGATGTGGGGGCGAAGGCACTACCTCCGGGGTAGTCCTCAGCAGCCGTGCTACCATACGCCCCCGAGATCAACGATAGTACCCATACGGTGATCTGGCGACACCTGGGTGAGGAGCCTAGCATTGGCGGCCGTGCGCCTGCAAGCTCATGGACTAACTACATGGCACCCTTGAGCCAGGAGCAAGGAGTAAGGCGATGAGCAGAAACAAGGATGGCGCGGTGTAGAGGGACGCGATGCCGCCGATGGCATGACTACGCGGCGCAATCGCGCTTTCAACACACACTCACACGTATCGGGCGTAGCTGGCGTAACGTGGATGGGGGGGACGGGTCAGAGTAACAGCTGCGACGGGTAGACGCGCAAAGGTGTAAAGACGCTGGGACGCAGGGGAGCTCAGACTAAGAATTCAGTGGAGACCCATGATGCTTCGCCACTCCTCTCATAGGAAACACATCATACCCAACCCCCACGATATGTTGGTCTGTCCATCAAGTCTGTCGGCCATCCTCCAAGGCCCCCGGCTGCGAACACCGTATGCGTGTCGAGACTATTTGCTCTTGTAGTCGAAATGTTTCTTGCAAAGTGGTTGGATCCCTTAGTACGCATCATCGCGCAATCATGTGGAAGGAGATATGGTTGGCGGCGTGCCAGCAAGTGGATTGAAACTGCTGCTTAGCCTGGGACCCCTCTGTCCGCAGCACACACAAACACAAGACACAGCAGCTAGCTAGAAGGGACATGTGTTGTATTGTGGATGTGTGAGCTAGATGGTGCGAGCTTTGTATATGTGGTGCACTATGCGTGGTGCGAGCTATGTGGTGCAATCAATGCGGCGTAAGCGTTGCTGTGTATAGTCTGGAGTAGCAGTCAAGACACTTTGTAGGTACACAGATAGCACATGGAAATTCTGGTGAGAGGTAGTGGCAGTGCACAGGTACCCATACGAAAACCTTCGGGAGATAAGGAGCTTGTGGGGGGGGGAGGGGGGGGGGCGGAACCAACATCTGACTCAATCGGTCTCACTATCGATCTCACTCAACGGGACGCCACGGGACACCACGGAACACCACGGGACTCTTATCGATCTTACGATCGATCTCACGATCGATCTCACTCAACGGGACACCACGGGACACCACGGGCCACCACGGGACACCACGGGACACCGCGGGACACCTCTCGATCTCACTATCGATCGCACAAGACACCATAGGACACCACGGGACACCACGGGATACCTCGGGACATCACATCGATCTGACTATCGATCTCACTCAACGGGACACCACGGGACACCACGGGACACCACGGGACACCACGGGACACCTGTCGATCTCACTATCGATCTCACTATCGATCTCACTTTTTGGGACACCACGGGACACCGCGGGACACCTCGGGACCAACATCGATCTCACGTTTGATCGCACCATCGATCTCACTATCGATCTCACTCAACGGAACACCACGGGACACTACGGGACACCTGTCGATCTCACTATCGATCTCACTATCGATCTCCCTTTTTGGGACACCTCGGGGCACCACATCGATCTCAGTATCGATCTCACTATCGGGTGGGCGGGGGAGAATCATTTGTCTTGATTTCGCCCTGGCAACGGCGGACACCACGGGACACCAAGGGACACCGCGGGACACCGAGGGCCACCGCCGGACGGACGGACGGAGGAGACTCATTTGACATGACTTCGCCCTAGCAACGGCGGACACCACGGGACACCACGGGCCACCACGGGACACCGCGGCACACCGCTAGGGCCATCACCGGACGGACGGACGGAAAAGAAACATTTGTCTTGACCTCGCCCTGGCAACGGTGGACACCACGGGACACCACGGGACACCATGGGACACCGCGGGACACCGCTAGGGATACCGCCGGACGGACGGACGGAGGAGAAACATCTGTCTTGACTTCGCCCTAGCAGCGGCGGGTTCATTCCTCTCGCGCGCCCACGCAGCTTCGTCTCGCCCGCACACAAGACACGAGCGAAACGAAACGATTTCCCGGTTGGGGGTCTCCGTTCTACTGCGATCTCAACCCCCAACCTCCGACATCACATCATCACATAGATTATCTCCGGCCGTGGGAACGGGGAAAACAAACCGATTCGGATATCATTGTGGTCTGATTCGAACTATACTGGCGCCCTTTTGGGACCCAGCAGAAATCAAACATAATCCAATGGAATCCCAAGGAATCCGACGAAAACGTTGAACTACATCCAAACAAAAATCCTTATAACCTTCGAGGGACCCTACGAAACCGTAAGAATTCAGATTCGGCATTATCAGGGCATGCCAAGAGGCCAGAATGAGTTCTTAGGAAGTCCACCTCCTGAGGACATGTTGGTACCCCCCAGGGAATCATTAGGACCAACCCCTTACCCTCCTCTGTTGCAAACCCTAGTCGGACACCTCACCTCTGCAAAAAAAACAGCGTCCTGCTATTGCCACCTGGGAGCACCGCGAGCTATCTCAGCATCGAAGGAGCACATGCAAAAGCAATACATCCCGCGCGCGCGGGAAGCAATCGTATTGGCATCTTGTTGCAATCCTATTGGAGTCATGCTGGCGCCCTATTGGAATCCCGAAGATGTCCCACAAAAAACCCGATGAAATCTTAGGGAGTCCTATGTGAGCCGTAAAACAAGAAAGTGAATCCTAACAATTGCCGTCGGACTCCCACGAATCCCTGAAGAATCCGATCTGGCACCATCATGGCATGCTAAGGGATCGCATGGAAACCTGAGGATACCCAAACGAACCCGAATATCTCCTAAGGACATCTTGGGAGACCCCAGAAGGAATTCATCCTTCCCTCTTCATACCACATGCTTAGCAAAAACCCTGTTAGGACATTTAGACCACGTGGCCTTATCGCCCATGGGCTGCACCGCGTGGCGTCCTAGCACAGGAATAGCGAAATCAATCAACAAATGGGTGTGCGCATGAATTCCTAGTGGAATCAAGCTGGCACCTATATGGAATCCTGTTACGGTCCCCCTGGGATCCTCTTGAAGCAACTTGGGGTACCATTGCGGTCCTACTGGCATCCTGTTTTAACACCTGTTTGGCACCCTCTTTGAACCCGCTTTGGGAACATTCTCAAACTAAATCGGGATCCGATTGAAATTTGATTGTAGCCCGATTGGGATGCCCGATTGGGATGCCACAAACGATGTCTTGGTGCCCAACTGGTATATCCAATGCAGATCCCGTGGGGTCGGATTGGAAACATAGTGAAATCAAATTGGAATCCTATTTGCACCCTCAATGGGCTCCGAATGGAACCATGTGGGAATATGGTTGGGGTCCTATTTGAATCCTACTGGGGTTCTTTGGGGACCCGATTTGGGTATCTACTGGGATCCGATGGAATCCTGCTGAGTCCAGTTGGGGTTCTGTTGAAATCGATTCATATCGTCTTGGTGTCCTATGAGGACCAAAACGGGATCACGTTAAAACCCCAGTGTGATCATTGTGGGACCCGACTGAAATCATATTTGAATCCTGTTGGGATCTCATGGGGCCCCACCGATATCCTTATTGGGATTATGGGATCCCGATTGGAATCCGATATGACTCCTATCGAGATCTTGTTGGGGTACTGAGGAATCCATATTGGAGGCCAAGTGGCATCATAGTGGCACCCTATTGCAACCCTATTGGTATCTTGTTTGGGCTGTCGGGATCCAGCTGGGATGCGATTGGAAACCTGTAGGAACCCTACTGGAACCTCATTGGGATATGTTTGAAGCCCTAGTGGGGTCTTCACCGCATCCGATTAAAACTCAATGTTGGATCTTTCTGGAACTGCCTGCTATCCAAGTGAAATCCTATTGAGATGATGCTTAGATCTAAGTGATATCCTACTATCAGGGCACAGAGTCCACAGTCCACGCGGCGCCCACGCACTAGAAGCACCAGAAGGAGGTGGTCTCCATCCACAACCTCCTCGTCCTGATTCCCAGACTGAGCAAAAAATTAGGTCCTTGGGGGATGCCACGTCCGCTCTGACACTCGTCGGCCAGCTGACAAAAATCAGCGCGATGGGAAGGGATGGGTGTCACTCTAGCACCTACCCCACGTGCTGACGGAGCGCAGAGAGAGGGAAGAAAGGAAAGACAAGCAAACGAGGACGAACGCGCAGGCGGGAGGCCAGGGCCGGCGGGGCGAGGCAGGCAGGCAGGCGGGCAGGGGCGGAGACGGGACAGCAAACACGGAGGGAAACAGGAAGAGCACGAGGAGGAGAAGGGGCAGCAAAAGGGCCGGGCCAGGGGCCAGGAGGGAAGGGCCGCCCGCGACGAAACTACGGACCCTACGGCGGCGACAGGAAGCGGTCGTGGCCAAATGGCGGGCGCGGTCGTCGGAAAAAAGCCATCGGGGTCGTTTCGGGGGCGTCGGGGTCGTCGGGATCGTCATGCGGAGGGGTCGTCATGCGGAGGAGTCGTCGGGATCGTTGTGGTCGGGAAGGGCGCGGGGTGCCTGACCGAAGCCAGCGCGCTGCAGCTTGGCGGGGAGGGAACCTCTGCTGCGGTATCACCCACCGCCCCGCGGAGGAAGGGACGGCCGGCAATGTGGGGAAGCGCCAGCGCGCCACCCGCGGAAGGGCGCGGGGGGGGGCGGCCGCGCTGCCCAGCAAGGGGGGGGGGGAGGGCGGGGGGCGCTAGGCTGCGCCAGCGTGGCGGCTCGCACGGCGTCAGCCATGGAAGCAGCTGTGGCAGCGGCCAAGCGGGCCGCAGCCACCCCCGCCACTCCAGACTGGATCTGGAGGCGCCGTAACACCGCCCGCGCGCTCTCCCTGCGCAGGGAGATGGAGAGTCGCTGGGCGTGTCGGTCTGCTACAAGTGTGGCGTCTTCCCCCGTGGTGTCAGCCACCCGCTTGGCCAGGACCCCGAAGGCCCTGCGCGCCTCGCGGCCCCACCCGCCGCCATGGGCTTCCACCACCATGGGGAGGAAGGTGAAGCCTTCCTCCGCGCACAGCCGCGCGGTGTCCAAGTGCAGCCTTTTGAACTCCTCGTGCCTGTCCGTCGGCGCGCTCGATGAAGCGGCCGACGCGGCGAGGAGATCGGCGCGCAACCCGGACACGGCGGCAAAG